TAGTTTGGGGTGATTCTCACGCAGGGGCACGGGACTGAGACCTTCGTTAGGGATTCCCTGGCAGCCCCAGGCCGGGAGGACACCTGTGTGTGGTCCTGTTTGTGTGTTCTGCCCCTTCTGGGTAAATGCCTCCATTAATCTCCCCCTGCCTGGGCTTGAAGGTCGGGTTTCAGGGCCCCAGCAGATGTTGACCAGAGTAACCCTGTTTCCTTAATCCTCAGGGCTCCAGAAACTGTCCTTAGAAGAGAGAACAACAGGCCTGCTGAGGCCACCATCTGTGCAGTCTTGATTTGTAAATGCTCATGAGGGTGGCAGGAGAGAGGTCTCTATAGTAACGGCTGAGGAAGGGGCCATGCGTGTGTGCGTGTGTGTGCATGTGTGTGCGTGTGTGTGTGTGTGTGTGTGTAAGGCAGGGGACGGGTGGAAGATTCATTCGAGACTCTTATTCCTAAACCTTTTCTTCTGCCATGATGAGCTATTAATTAATACTCATTACTGGCTTATTATCCCTGGAGATAATTAGCTACTGTTCCTAACTGGAGTCTCACGGGGGACATTTTCTAAAGAGATTCATTCATTTCTGCCCACCTGCACCTGCCTTTCTCCTGGGACATAGGCAAATGTTGCAGATCCTGGGGACCCAGAGGGGAAAAAAAATGGAACAAAGAGGCCTCTCTATGAAGCTGAGATTCCCAGCCAGACAAGGGCAAAGCCTGAATTAGCAAGGGCACAGTTAGTGATTTAAAAATGCCAGCTGTGATTATTCTGGAAGGTGGAATGGAGCCTCCTAAGGTGCCAGTGTTTGCAAGGGAAAGTTGCCATCTCTGTTCAAACGGACCAGTCAGACCCAAAGGCAGGCAGGAAGAGGGGGAGGGGGAGGGAGGACTCTGCAGCCTCCCAGATCCAAACGTGCCAAGCCCAGCATCTCCTCCTGGCCTTTGCACATGCTGTTCCCTCTGTTACGAGTGTGCTTTCTGCAACTTCGCCTGGCTCACTCCTCTTCAACCTTCAGTCTCAGTTTAGACAGAGGTGCCTCCTCCAGGATGCCCTCCTTGATTTACACCTGTCTTCCTCAGCCTGGACTGGTACAGGGGACTCCCCCTGGCTTCCGAGTGTCTTGGTCTCTTCCATCAGAGCTTTGTTCACTCTGAGCTATAATAGCCTGGGACAGTCTGTCTCTCCAGCTAGACTTTTTGTTGAGGATTATGTCTCCTCCTACATATACTATTAAGTGAAAAAGAGCACGTTCTACAAGGCGTGAATAGAATGTTCCTTTATGTATTAAAAAGGGAGAGAAGACACTACCCACTTAGTAGGTGGCTAAAAAAGAAGTGGACAATCCCAAGTGTCAGCAAGGAACTGAATTCTCTGATCCCCTGCTCATGGGAATGCAGAATGGTGTGGCCACTTTGGAAAAAAAGTTTGGCAGTTTCTTAGGAAGCCGGATAAATTCTTACCATATGACCCAGCCAACCCACTCCTGGGTATTTACCCTAGAGAAATGGAAACATATCGTCCACACAAATACCTGCATGGGTTTATTTATAGCATCTTTATTCATAAACTCCAAAACCTAGAGATGTCCCTGTACCCAATGTCCCTGCACTGGCGAGTGGATAAACAAACTCTAGTCCCTCCACAGAATGAAACGCTACTTAGTAATAAAAAAGAGCTCATTCCTGATACACACAACAACACAGATGGATCTCAGTGCATTACACCGAGTGAAAGAAGCCAGACACAGAAAGCTGCACACCGTGTGATGCCATTTAAGTGATGTTCTGGAAAAGCCGAAGCTGTAATGATGGAAATCAGATCATCAGGTACCAGGGACTAGGGGTGGGGAAGGGGATAGACTACACAGGGGGCACGAGGGAAGTTTTGGGGGTGATGTAAGTATTCTGGATCTTGATGATGGAGTTGGAGACACATGCATATGTCAAAATTTATAGAATTGTATGTCTAAAACTGTGAATATTACTATATATAGATTATACCTTAATATATGTGGCCTTAAAAGAGAATTCTTAAAAGGGTTAAAAAAATGGTGGTGTTTGGGAAGAATGATGTATAAATTTGTACATTCATGAAAGACCTCTGGCTGGGGACAGAGAAGGGAATGGAAACTTGACCAAGAGCTTAGATCTTGGAGTTGGCAGACTGGGGTCATCATCCTAGCTCCAACCCCTGCTTACTGCAGTCCCTGGGCAGGCCCCCATCCCTCTCTAAGCCACCCGCCAAATCTGCAAAATGGGGCATAGCATACCTGTTCTGCAGCCCAGAAGAGTTGGCAGGAAAATCTCAGAATCCTAGGTGTAAAAGAGTTCTTCTCTGCTCTCCTGGAGACACAAGATGAACCCAAGAGGAGGCATTGTCATGGTGGTAGGGACAAGTGAGCAGTTTTGGAGCCAAGTGACAGAGCTGTGTTCAAATCCCAGCTTGCCCTTCTGCTTTCCTGGTGGCCTGAGGCTAGTTACTTAGCCTCTCTGAGCCTCAGCCACCTCATCTGCAACATGGGGACCACAGTGGTAGCTATCTTCTGAGTTTGCCCAGAGGCCAGAGGAATATTTGGCACGTAAAGGGTTGGACACAGAGCCCGGCACAAAGTAAAAGCTTAAGGAGGGAGAGAAAGAAAAGAGAAAAGGTTTCCTTGAGTTATCTGTTCCTGGCCTGAGCGACCAGTACCCGGGCCACCCTCTCTGACTGTATCTCCTACCCAACCCCTCCACCCTTGATCACCAGCCACCACACCCAGGATCTGTTTCCGCCCCCACCCCTGGCTTTTACCCTGACTGCTCCCTCAGCCTGGTATTTGTCCTTTAGATTTTCCCAAGCCCATCTCCTGCCTACCTTTCAGTTCTCAGCTCAGATGGCCCCACCCCACAGAGACTTTCCCCACCCACCCTCTCATTATCTAGTTACAGTCTACCTAGGGTCTGGCAAATCACACCCCTCTGGTGGGCCAAATGAGCTACTGCTGTTTTTACAAATAAAGTTTTATTGGCACACAGCCTTACCCATTCATTTTTATATTCTCCAAGGCTGCCTTTGAGCCATGACAGCAGAGTGGAGTAGCCACCAGGGAGCCCCACTCACCTGCAAAGCCAAACATATTTACTTTCTGGGCCTTTTACAGGAAAAGTTTGCTGAATCCCACTCTACCACCTCCCCCTGGTGTGTTTTCTAAATCGCAGTTATTGTGTGAGGTTATCTTGTCTTTTATTTATTTCCTTGTTTATTGTCTGTCTTCTGAACTAAATGTAGGACAAAAGTCATATCAGTTTGGCTCCCTGCTGCTGGATTTCCAGTGTCTGGCACACAGCAGACATTCAAACAATGTATATATATATATAGTGTGTGTGTGTGTGTGTGTATGTGTGTGTGTGTGTGTGTAGCGAATGAATGCATAAAGTAGGCATGGAGGTGTAGTTATCTGGCTATGTCTTTCTTGAATGTTGGAGGAGGAAAGGACTAAAGAAATCCTCTAAACAAACTCTTACTGTAAAAAAGTGGGGCCACACACTGAGTGTAATGTGCACCCTCAAGGAAGATAGTGAACCAAACAGGTACCAAGGTCGAGAGGCGAATCCTGAGATCTAAGAACCCTCTGGTTACTACAAAATGCACCTCTCTGCAAAAAATGATGGGAAACACAAGAATGAAATGGAATGCACTAGCCTGAATTGGATCTCAGCTTGGGAAGAAATTCTATAAAGGACCATATTGGGATGGCTGGTGAAACTGGAATATAGACTAGTGATTAAACAGTAGCATTGTAATGATTTTGACTTCTGGAACACAGTCTTTACACTGCAGTTACATAAGAAGACTGCCTTGATCTTGGTGGATGAATGCTGAAGTATTTAGGAATGAAGGGGCAGTTTTACATGATTGGGACAGAGATAAAGGTATATGTAGAGGAAAAGACAAAAATAAAGCAGATGCGGCAGAGTGTTATCGTGAATGGGTGAATTTAGGTAGAGATGGTATGGAAATTCACTGCACTATGCTTGCAACTTTCCTGTGGTCCTGAATTTGCTTTTCCAAATAAAAAGGTTAAAAAATAAATAAGGAGGAGAACAAATGAACATTAATTTTGATTTCTAAAAACATTGCATTGAAATATTATTTATCTTGATTACTGAGTTGTGGTTTTTTTTTTTTTGGTGATCACTTAAATTTTGTACCCAAGGCAGGTGACTTGCTCGTCCTATTCCTGGCCCTGATTATTTACACCCAACATGCAATCCACACCATATCATTGATTCCTCATCGCAGTTACCTGAGAAGGTATGACCATTATCACCATTTCACTGCTGAGGGAATTCACACAGAAAGGTTCAGCTGTGCCCAAAGACCCACAGCAAGGAGGAGAAAGAGAATATGGATTAAAAAAACCCAAGTTTGTGTGTTTTTTTGGTGCAGAGCCTGCTCAGTAAAGCAAAACAATAAACTAAATTATGAGTTGGATAAGTCAAGGACTCAAAAGATCTAAGCTTGAGTCCCCCCTCTGACCCAGGCTCCCCTGAGCCCTCCATTCTCACAGGCCTCAGTTTCCCCTCCTGGAACTGGACTTAAATATTCTGAGCCTGCCCTGTTTTCCTCCAACATAGTTTACTAGCTTTCTCTCTCCTGATCCAGCAATAGTACAAGCTAGAGATGGGGAGAAGCAGGTACCAGCTAGGGTTCTTGAGCAGAGTAGAAGCTCAGAGACCCAGGAGAGGGGGCCGAGTGGGGAGACCCTGGGGACCACAATGAGTGTTCTCTCCCCCTCCAAAAAACCCTAACCCAGTTTTTGGGCAGATACCAGACTTTTATTCTGAAGCCGAGGCCGCAACCTATGATGTAATCTTTGGAGCTGCCTTCGAAGCGGAGTCCCATTGGCCAAATGGCAAAGCCCCTCCCCGGGTTCCCCGCGCCCCGCCTTCCCCGACGCCCATAAAAGCGCACGTCCCGCCTAGGAAACCGCTGTACACCTGCATCTAACAACAGGACTGGGAGCAGGTGAGGCACACAGACGAAGAGCCCCAGCCGCGTGGGGGTGGGGGTTGGTCAAAGGGACCCGGGACCCCGGGAATGGGGCTGGTTTGCAGGTCAGTGCATGGACATCTTCCCAGAAAGTGACACGGCGAAGTTGGACCATCTGGAAAGCGGAGCTCAACGGTGCTGACTACCTAGGAGGTAAGTGCTGGGGAAAGCCACGAGGTGGGTAGCAGGTATCAGTCTTAGCAGCGGCCTCTCCTTATCCCCCTTTTGCCGTTCTCCCCTCACTGCCCACCGGGAAGAAGATAAGAGGGAGAAGAAATCTTGGGAAAGGGGGGTTCTTCCCAAGAGTCAGAGGCAGAGAACGGAGGGTAGTGGGGTAAGCCGGGAAATAGAAGGAAGCAAGTCACATTGTCTTCAGCACCGAGGCCGAGGACAGCTCTCCGACAACCACGGAAGGAAATAGCTATCTATTTCAGCACCGGACTCCGGACAGCACCCCTCGGGGTCTCGGCCCCCGCGCTCCAGACGGCTCCAGGCGGGTCCTCGAGCCGAGGCCGTTTCAGCACCCGGACCGCGGACAGCTCCTCCAGTAAGGTTGTGAGATGACCCTTGCCCCCGCAAGGGGGAAGAGAGAGTGGACTTAGGTGTCTGAAGCTTCTGTAGACTTGCCTCTCATTTAATGGAATTTTCAACGAATTATTTTCCAGATAAGCAGGTGAGATGAAAACGCACACAGATATCTGTAATTCCCAGCAGGTCAGATGGCCAGTCGGTAGGACCGTGGGGAACAGGAGCCTGCCAAGATGACGTTATTGTGCCCTTTCCAGACTTCTGTGAGAAGCATGTGCCAAGCGTTTTACATGCATTATATCATGCCATCTTCAACCCTTGGGCATGAGTGTTAGTACACCAGGTGACAGTTGAGGAACAGACCCAGAGAGGAGCAGGACAATAACCCAAGGGCTTTCAGCCGGACAGTGAGGCTGCAGGTCAACCCCACATCTGTCCAAGTCCAAATTCCATGCTTCTGACATGCCTGGGTGGGAGTTGGGCCCTTGGCGATCAGACCATGCCTCTCTCCTGGAGGCCTGGGAATGAAGACAAGGGGGGCAGTGGAGACACGAGAAGCCCGAATGTTACAGCTTGGCTCAGGTGAGGGGGAAGAGCTGGGTCGGGTATCCCAGGAGTGGGGCAGGGGGTGGCAAAGAAGACTGCAATGGTTGTGGTCTAGTGCTGTGTGGAAGACTAGTGATTTTGTTGTTCTGATGTCCTATGACAACAAGTCACGGCTTCCTCATAGCGTGGACTCCCGTCGACCTCCACCTGAGACGGACAAGCGAGTGTGGGGCCCAAGAGGGGTCAGAGAGGAACCCCTTTACACCCAGAGTGGGGGCTGGCCACTTCTATGGGACAAGAGCAGGAGAGGGAATAAAACAGTGGCACACCCCCATGAACACAGAGCTATGCACCCCGTATGGGGTTGGCATGTCACTTGTACACCCCCATAAGCCTGGGAATACAAAATATCTGACTCTGAACCCAAGATCCTTAATCATGTCACTACACTTTCCTGGGGAATCAATGAGGGAATGGTGTTTGAAGCCATCCCTCGACCAGGACTCTGCAGGCTTTCCAATAAAAGTTCCAGGAATGAATTTTTTTTTTCCTCCTTCACCCTGCCATCACTTCCATGCACCGATTACCAGACGAGTGTAAACTTGAGCCTGGTGGGTGAGTTGTGGCATCATGGAGGCTCACCCCCAATTCTCTGCCACCTCCTAACCAAGTCACAGAAACCACATCAAGCTCATTCCAGCCACAGAACTTTACCTCTACCATGTCCTCAGCATGGAATCCTCTGCCCTCCAGGGCAGCCTACTACTCACCTTCTCTAAGTCTGATCTTGTCAAGGAAACTTCCCTAGCTTCCTCACAAATGCCCAAGCCAAGTCTATATTATACATTCTCATAGACCTGGGATAGCTTCTCTCCAGCACTCCAATTATTTTTGTCTAGTCTTAAAGAACCGTCTCATTACACTGTGAGCTCCGTGAGGGCAGAGACTGTTTGTGTTTTCACTGCTGCATCCCTGGTACCCGATACAGGGCCCTAGTGCTCTATAAGCATTTGTTGACTCAATAGAGGCACCTGAGAATAAACCAATGCATCAATCAATAAATCAATCGATGACTTCAGCACATACATGAAGATCCTACTTCTCCTCAGTCTCCCCACAGAGATACCATAGGATGATGGCTGCTGCAGGTGCTTATTGGGGAGTATAATTCAATTTGTGGACACTCAAGGGCCAGCCAGCCAACTAATAGCCCCAGGAGAGAGCCAGGCTCGTTTAATTAGCGATTAGAGGCATTGATTCCTCGTCAGCTCCCGCATCCTCATCTCCCTCCTCAGCCCCAGACGAATGAAATCCTTCCCTCTCCTGGGAGTACTGCCTCAGTGGGTCCATTAGCAAGCAGAGAAAATGTGATTACAGGACACCTAGATGCCAGAGGCACTTCATGAACGGGGTGGGGAGAGGGGGGTTCCGTGTCTGGGTTAAAGCTAATGGTGAGAGATTTTCTGGTATATTTAGAATCACACTGTGGGAATGGGAGGGTTTTCAGGTAGGAAAAGGCACTCAGGTACTGCCACTCAGGGATCCCAGTGAAAGAGGAGATTCTGCCTTGGTATCCCTACGACTGTCGCCCCGCCCCGCCCCCTCCCATTCACTCCAAATCAATCATTTCAATCTGAACACCCAATCCACCCAACCACAGCTTCCTTCTATCTCCACGTTCCCGTATGTGGGAGCCTCTCCGTGACCCAGAGACCCTCCCCTCTTCATCCATCCACAGTGAGGGATCTTTCTAGAACACAAATCCCATTAACTCTCACCCTGGCCTTCAACCCCCCTGAGACTCCCATTGCCTGAGGGATACGATTCAAATATCCTCTCAGAGCCGGTGTGATCTGGCCCCTCCCTGCTGGGAGTAAGGGCTCCTCATTTCCTCACCAGCTCCACTAGACAGCTAGCTCGCCCAGAATCACCTCTTGCGGGACATCTCCAAGCTTGATTCCCCTTATAGACAATGCAGATTTCCAGGCCCCTCCCAGTTTCAACAAGCCAGAGGTGGGGCAGGCATATGAATGCAACACGGTGGAGCTGGTGGATTGAGCTACCTAAGAGAGACCTCCCATGTCCTGGTAGCTGCTTCAGGACCCTGGAAAGATAGACAAGGACGGAACAAGTAACACGAACAACACAGCCTACGGGGGGTGCGATACAGTTCTGAAAGCTAAAAGCATCTGTGGGAGGATGAGGAGTTTAAAATACGGAATGACCTGCTAAGGGAATACTGCAAGAATGAAATCTCTCAGAGACTCATGGGGAGCACATCAGACCGTGCCTTTGAGACAGGATGTGGGTTAAAAATTAAAATTAGCCAACCGTGGTGTATGATTGCTTCTCAGCATTATAATAAGTCTCAGGGATAGTGAGGGCCAGAGACCTTCTTGCAGTGGATTGAGTGCAGCAAAGTGGGTGCAAAATATAATTTCTCGCTCTGTGATGGGAACGGACTAGAGACCCCTCCAGGGGCTGGGCAGTGGGGGTGGCGAAGGAGGCGAAGGATGCTGAGCAGGGACACTGGGCAAGGGCTGCCACTCTCAGCCTCAGTTTCCCCATCTGTAAAACGGCGGCGATTGTACCTTCTGTCTTCGGGCTGTTGTAAAGATTGAGGGGATAATGTGTGTCAATGTACGGCACCATGCCTAGTACATAGTAAGTGCTCAACACCGTACAGTGATGACAGTGACAATCATGACATATGAGTAAGCACGGAGAGGGGAAGAAAAGTATAAGGGTGGAGAAATAATAGATTGAGAGATAAGTGTGAAGGAAGATATGAGGGAGAAGGGGAGGGAAGACATGAGGGAGGGAGGGAGCCGGAGGCCCATCAGCTCCTCTTGAGCAGCTGTTTAAGTCCACACCTGGCCCACTTACCTTATCAGCCCTCACACTCAAGGGCTACTATGTACCTACTTCGCTCCAGGGCCAGGAACCAGGCAACTGGGTTCAGTCTCATTGTCCAGAGCCCGTGAAATTATTCAAATTGGTCAATTCCACAAAGCCCTGGAAACCTAGTTAACCCTTCACAGCTCACCATGCATAAACTGCCCCTACAGTGCCCGCTTGCTGTCCCCCTCGTCTCCAGGGCAAGCCCTATGCCCTGCTCTTGTTTAGAGCTCCAAGTAAAATAAAATTTGCATTTTAAACATTTTAAAAGTGACAGTTCAGTGGCATGTAGTACACTCACAGAATTCCACAACCGTCACCATGACCTGCTTCCAGGATATTCCATCACCTCAAAATGAACGCTGTTCCTTTAGGCAGTCACTCCCCACCCACCCTGCCAACCCTGCTACTGGTCTCTGTCTCTCTGGATTTGCCTATGCTGGATATTTCCCATAGGTGGGGGTCACACACCGTGTGGCCTTTGGTGTCTGGCATCTCTCACCGAGCATTGTGTTTTCAGGATCCATCCACGTTGTAGCAGGTGTCAGAACCTCACTCCTTTTGATGGCCGAGTAATATTCCAGTGCACGGCTGGATCACATTTCGTTTACCCTCTCATCGGTGGTGGGTATGTGGGTTATTCCCACCTTTTGCGTATTGTGAATATTGCTGCAGTGGACATTGGTATATAAGTATTTAAGTCACTGTTTTCAATTCTTTTAGGTATATACACAGGAGTGGGATTGCTGGATCGTATGGTCATTCTGTTTAACTTTCTGAGGAATCATCAAACTGTTTTCCTGAGATTCAAAAAAACAGCCTATTGAGGCAGAATGGGCATCTAATAAACTACACGTAGTTAAAGTACATAATCATGCCATTCATGAATAAAGACAGTTTTACTTCTTCCTCCCAAAGTAGCTGCCTTTTGCTTGCTTTTCTCAGATACGATGTTGAACAGGAACGGTGAGATTGGCCATCTCTGCCTTATTCCAGATCCTGGGGGAGAAGCGCCCGGTCTTGTACCAGGAGGTGTGCTGTTCACTGTGGCTTTTCATAGGTGTCCTTACTGGGTTGAGCAAATTCCCCTCTATTACCATTTCCATGAGCCCGTTTAAAAATCAAGACTAGATGTTAGATTTGGGCAGATGGTCTTTCTCCAAGTATGGAGATGATCATATGGTTTTTCTTCGAGTTGTTCACATAGTGAAGGACACTGATTATCGAATGGTAAACTAATCTTGCACTGTTACTTCTTATTTTGATATAATTTCAAACTTACAAAAAGTTGTAAGGAGAGGCAAAGTATTTTCATATTCTTTACTCAGATTCCTCAGTTGTTTGCATTTTTTACATTTGCTTTATCATTCTGTCTTTATATATATATATATAAAATATTTTTAGTATACATATATATACACACTGCATATATAATAGTATATTTAAAATATATATATACTAGTATAGTCTAGTTATATAGATTATTGTTTATATGTATTTGTTATGTGTAAGTATATAAACATGACACACAATATAAGAATTATTATATATAATATTTATATTATAACATAACAAAATGTTTATAAATAATGTTATATAATATGTATAAATATATAAGAATGTATAAACTATATTATAAAGCCATATGACTTACAATAAAGTGTAATGTATATATTCCACACATACATTACATATGTAATATGCATAATGTAATGTATAGGTTTAATGTGATATATATGTATTGTATGTGTGATGTATATATAATATGTAATCATGTATATATTACACACACACACAATGTACGTAGTGTTTTTTATAGCTACCCTCCCTGGCAGTCAGAAACATCCACAGCTTCTCGTTCTTTCCTTCTCTTGACAACTGATTTATTCCTGAGTCTGAACCAGGTGGGCTAAAACAAGGGTGAATTTCTCTCCAACTATTGCCCCTCCTGCTGTCAAATCCCCCTTCTCTGCCCTGAGGAGCACATCCTGCTACCTGGCTGGTCACCTGTCTGTTAAAAAGTCTCACCGTGTCCAGCCCTGTTGACAGTTTCCACCTGAGAGCTTTCCCCATCCCCTCGGCTGGCGGGACATGTGACTGGGAGGCTGCTGGCAGCCGCCCTCTGTGCCCTGTGCCTTTGGCCTTGTTTTGCCCCTGTGCCTGGCATGTGTCTTTCTGTCCATCCCTTCTTCACGGGGCTGGGCCAGGGCCAAAGAAAGTAGCTCTGAGCGAAGGAGCGGGTGTGCGCAGGGACCAGCGAACACCCTGCTGTCTCTGGGCTGGGCTGGGCTGGGCTCAGCCTGGGCTCCCGGGATCCAGAAAGGCAGGGATGGGAGGGGGCAGATTCCAGAGAGGAAGCTCAGCCATCTTCTTGTGAGGCTGCCTGCCTGTTGTCATGGAAACCCAAGCCACTTTCTTTTGAAGGACCCATTAAGGTGCAGAATACAATCAACGCCCTCTGGCAGACCCCACCCTCCTTGGTGGGAGGTGACCACCAGGGCAGGCCAGAGGAGCGGCAGCTGGGGTGCTGAGGCAGCATCTGAGTCAGCCTGCACCATCCCTCTCCGGCCCTGGCTGCAGGTGACTCGTGGTATGATCACAAGTCCCTGCTCCTGTTTGCCCACGTCCTCCCCAGTGGAAATGACAGAGGGGCACCTCACCATCACCACACTGTCTCTGAGCACCACACGGTGAGCTGGGTGTACGTGCGGATCCTGGCTGCAATCTGCCCACTGGCTCTGCCACTCGCTAGCTAGGCAACTTCCCTACCTCTCTGGGCCTCGGTTTCCTCTCCTATAAAGCAGAGATAGTTATCACACCTACCTCACAGGATGTAATGCACTGAAAGCTCTTAAAATAGTGTCAGCTTTGGCAGAGAATTCCCTTAGTATCTTATCTGAATGTCTTATGTCTTCATGAGGGGCTGAACTGCGACATGCCTACCCTGTGGTCCATCCCCTGGACCTTTGCTCCTGTGTGTGATTTTAAAACATATCTACAAACTTATTAACATCCCTCCTACATTAGTTTCCTTGCCTTGACAGGGTGCGGTGTCTGGTTTTCTCCCCTTGAAATAGACCAGACTTAGCAACTTTCTTCCAGCAGATAAAATGTGCAGAGGTGACACCATGTGACTCCCCGCACTGCGTGCGTGATATGTCCCAAAGACTTTATCTCCAGACACAATCACCTGGGGGGGGGGGTCAGGGCTTTTTTGTATGAATTTGGGGAGGACACAGTGCAGTCCACTACAGGCACTAAGCTTGGGGGAGTTTGCCAAGCCAAAACAGAGACCTAGAATGATCTGGAACCACTGCTTCTGGCAACAAGACTCCCTGAAAAATCTCTGCCCTTGAATGAAGTATCTCTCAACTTCCTCCTTCTGTCTCCAGCCACGTAAAACCTCTTCATCCTGTGGGCTCCTGTGTCCCAAACACACACCCTGACTTATCTCCCTATCAGGTTCCCGCTCTTAAGAGCACATTTGTCTTGCTCACTGCTCTCTCCCCAGCGTCCAGCACATGGTAGGTGCTTAGAATATCAATAAATGTGGATGAATGAATGAATGAATGAATGAATGAAGGCAACAAAGACATCCGCCAATACCTCCGGTTGTGCTGACCATCATAAATCGGTCTGCTCCCCTCAGGGACTCGTTGAGCTTGTTTCTTAGAAACGAAACCTTGACATATTTCCCCAGTGAACAGGCAGTTCCCTGGAGAGGAAACATAGTAAGCAAACTTGTGTGATTTGGTCAGTAATTACAGACATGCAAATGAAAGCCCCAAGCTCCCTTTAACACAGTTGCTACTACGGCAGCTTTATCACAAATGACCGCAGACACTGTAGGCGTAAAATGACCCTCGTTTTCTTGTATCTCACCGATTTGGTAGGTCAGGAATTTGGGCAGGACTCAGCTGGGGGTGGAGGGGTCTGTTACGCATGCGTGGTGTCAGCGGGTGGCTGGCAGGTGTGGAAGGCCCCGAGACAGCTGCACTTGCCCCGGGAGGGGATGGCTGGAAGGCTGGGCTCTGCTGGGAGGGGGACCAGAGGGGTCTGCTCATGGCCTTCCAGCAAGGTGAGCTGTGGGTTGGTGACTCCCTTCGGGGTGGCTGGCTTCCCCAGAGTGTCACCTCACAGAACCAGCTGGAAGTGGGTGACTTGTTATGTCCTGGCTTCAGAAATCCCAGTACCCCTTCTTTCTTCCTCTGTAGGTCTAGCCAGTCACGTATCCACCCACACTCAAGGGAACAGGACAGACACCCTACCTCTTGATGGGAAGAGGGTCAGAGAACATGGGGCCATGCTTTTTAAAAAAAAATGCCATAAACATGGAGGATATGAACAGACACTTCTCCAAAGAAGAAATTCAGATGGCCAACAGGCACATGAAAAGATGCTCCACATCACTTGTCATCAGGGAAATGCAAATTAAAACCACAATGAGATATCACCTCCCACCAGTAAGGATGGCCACCATCCAAAAGACAAACAACAACAAATGTTGGCGAGGTTGTGGAGAAAGGGGAACCCTCCTGCACTGCTGGTGGGAATGTAAATTAGTTCAACCATTGTGGAAAGCAATATGGAGGTTCCTCAAAAAACTAAAAATAGACATACCACCTGACCCAGGAATTCCACTCCTAGGAATTTACCTTAAGAATGTAGGATCCCAGTTTCAAAAATACATATGCACCCCTATGTTTACTGCAGCACTATTTACAAGAGCCAAGATATGGAAGCAACCTAAATGTCCCTCAGTAGATGAATGGATAAAGAGGATGTGGTACATATACACAATGGAATATTATTCAGCCATAAGAAGAAAACAAATCTTACCATTTGCAACAACATGGACGGAGCTAGAGGGTATTATGCTCAGTGAAATAAGCCAGGTGGAGAAAGAAAAGCACCAAATGATTTCACTCGTGTGGAGCATAAGAACAAAGCAAACACTGAAGGAACAAAACAGCAGCAGACTCACAGAACCCAAGAATGGACTAACAGTTGCCAAAGGGAAAGGGACTGGGGAGGATCGGGGGGAAGGAAGGGAGAAGGGGATTAAGGGGTATTATGATTAGTGTACATAATATAGGGGCGGCACGGGGAAGGCAGTGTAGCACAGAGAAGACAAGTAGTGACTCTATAGCATCTTACTATGCTGATGGACAGTGACTGTAATGGGGTATGTGGAGAGGGAGACTTGATAACGGGGGGAATCTGGTAACCACAATGTTGCTCATGTGATTTTATATTAATGATACCAAAAAAAAATGCTGCAAACACCTATTAAACTAGCAAAAAAAGATGGAGGTAGAAGGAGAGAGGCCTCAGGGGTAACCATCGTTGCCAGTACCTTGATCTTGGACTTCCAGCCTCCAGGACTGGGAGACAGAAATTTCTGTTGTTTCGTCTGGCTTAGCCTATCTCAGCTGCTATAAGAAATACCACAGACTCGGGTGGCTTCTAAACAACAGAAATCTATCTTATATCTCCCAGTTTTGGAGTCTGGGAAATCCAAAATCAGTGTGCCAGCAGGGTCAGGGGGGGTCCTTCCTGGTTCATGGGTACCCCATGGAGAAAAGGGCAAGGGGCTTCTCCAGGACTCTGTTCTAAGGGCGC